AAGCCTAAAAATGTTCTCCTCCTCAAGGTCCTGGAAACCAAAAGCTTGCTGGCGCGTGCTGTCAAAAGTAAACCACCAGCGCTTGGGCCGGACTCATACCTGGCAGTGGCAGAGACATTTGTTTTGGCACTGCACCTTTTAGATTGATGTCTGCGAATATTTGTTATCAATGGTCAGGGTAAAACATCATCAGCGGTACTTCCATAGAGAGATCAACTGCCGCTCCGGGATAGCATCTGAATAAAGGACACAACGTTAGCGACATGGAAAGTGCAAACTGATACACGCGCAGTTCAGTTCCGCATTCAGTATCCAGACAACGGGGTGGCAGCTTCTCCTTTCAGTAAGATTTCAAAAAACCCCCCCACTTATCAGGGTATTTCTTCTCTATCATTTGATTGTGAAAGTAATGGTGGCATGTCCGAACTCTGGGCTCTTTTAAGACACAAGAGCGATTGTGATCAGGTCAGACAGCAGGCAATAAAAAGGGCTATTTGTAAAACACCCAGAAAAAGCAAACGAAAAGAAAGAACATGCGTTTGTTTGTTGCCTACATAGCCATGTGAGGCAAGATTACAAGAATTCAGGAATCTGGAGCTATTATTGTACTTACATGACTGAAGGAGGCGGCAGTGAGGCTAAACCATTAATAAAATAAAGCTACATATTCCCTTGGGCCAAATGCTTACACATTAATTCAACTAAAGATAGAAAGAATGGATTCTGTGGGGGGGGGGGGGAAGCACAAAATAATTTCCTCCTCAAGGTCCCTGGAAAACCAAAGCTTACTTGCGTGCTGTCAAAGTAAACCACCAACGCTTGGACGGACTCCGCCACCTCGGCAGTGACGAGACATTTGTTTGGCACCACGCACAGATTGATGTCTGCCGAATAGTATTTGTTATCAATGGTCCAGGGGTAAAACCTCACGGTATCATCAGCAGTCACTTCCACGAGAAGATCTTCTGCTCCAAGGATATCTGAACAAAAGGACACAACGTTAGCATGGAAAGTGCACAAACTGATACACACTGGTCAAGTTTCACGGTCAAGTATCAGACTAACGGGGTACTCTGGCAGCTTCTCTTTCAGTAAAGATTTCAAAAAGCCCCCCACTTATCAGGGTATTTCCTTCTCTATCATTTGATTGTGAAAGTAATGGTGGCATAATCGAACTCATGGGCTCTTTTAAGAACACAAGAACGATTGTGATCAGGTCAGACAGCAGGCAACAAAAGAGCTATTTAGCCAAACACCCAGAAAAAAGCAAGCAGAAAAGAAAGAACAGCTTACGTTTATTTTATTGCCTACATACTTCATGTGAGAGGCAAGATTACAAGAATCTTCAGGAATCTGGAACTATTGTGTACTTACCGCAAGCTGAAAGGAAGGCAGCAGTAAGGCTAAACCATTAATAAAATAAAAGCTACACATATTCCTTGGGCCAAATGCTTACACATTAATTCAACTAAAGATAGAAAAGAATGGATTCTGATAAATGACCCCAATTCCATTTATATTCAGCCTTGTTCAGATTCTTCGAAAGCCAACTCAAATTTTTGTCCGATAAAGACACTTTTGGCATCATTTAAAGACATAACAGCCAAGCAAATTTATTTAGGATGTAACTAAATCTTTCAGAAACCCATGTGCAGTGCGGCTATAACTAATGAAATTCTTACAGTAAAAGCCAAATCAACGATGAACAAATATAGATGAGGACATGGAACCACTGAGCAGTTTGCTTCCGTAATGCCGTAACATATTCAGAAGTGGAAAACATTAGAAACTGTCCTACCCTAACCTCCCATCTCTCACATCCATACCCACAACCCATGTTTTATGTGGAAAGTAAGTTTAAAGAGGTAAAATAACATGCCACTAAAATTGGGTTCTTATAAGAAGGTATGGCGGGTGTCTGGGTGGCTCAGTCGGCTCAGTCAGCCTGACTCTTGATTTGAGCTCGGGTCATGATCTCACAGTTCATGAGATCAAGTCCCAGCAGGGCTCCACACTGACAGCACAGAGCCTGCTTGGGATTCTCTTTCTTTCTCTGCCCCTCCCCCCACTCTCCCTCTTGCCCTCCCTCTCTCTCTCTCTCTCTCTCTCACTCTCTCTCAAAATAAACTTTAAAAAAGAGTGACTTTAGGGGTGCCTGGGTGGCTCAGTCGGTTGGGCATCCAACTTCGACTCAGGTCATGATCTCATGGTTCGTGAGTTCGAGCCCCACGTCGGGCTCTGTGCTGACAGCTCAGAGCCTGGAGCCTGCTTCAGATTCTGTGTCTCCCTCTCTCTCTGCCCCTCCTCCACTCATGCTCTGTCTCTCTTTCAAAAATAAACATTTTAAAAAAGTGACTTTATTTAAAAAAAAAAAAAAGAGAATATATGGCAAAATGGCCACAAACTCCTTTTCAATGCAAAGTAAGATGAATATTATTTTATAAAATATTCCTCAAACTCACAGTTAGCAGGACATAGAAAACTAGAAGCTAAATTTTCAGTTCCAGAGCTAAGATTATGTATTTGAAACACTGCCATAGTTTTTGCTCAAACAAAAAGATCTGAGGAAATTATGTAGTCCAAAAGACTGCTAGGATTAATGTATAGTAACTTACAAAGCGTGCACGTGTATATATGCATGCTTTTCACTGGTAAACTATCTTTATGTGGTTATTAGGAGGAAACGGTCTGAAAATAAAACCCCTCCTTTTTTAAAAAAAAATTAAAATAACTAAATTTAAAATAAATTTAAGACTACATTTGACATATGGCACACACTGTGAAACTTTCTAAAATTTTTCACTGCAACCAGAATTGTTACTTGTAAATTACCATAGGTCTATGCCAATATTTGAAAATCTGAATTTGTCTTGTCTGTTCAAGAAATCGACAGTTCTTGCTGCTTAATTTCTACATAAAGTAATCTTTCATTAATTATCAAGCAATTCCTTAGCAGCCAGCTGCGATGTCCTCCATGGAGCATTATGACAAGTTCAGGTAGGAAATGAGCAGGAAGAACAGATAAAGTGTAAAAATCAAAGATTCTGTTTTCATGTAAGTGTCTCACAGAAAAAGAAAAAAAAGCCCACCAAACCTCCTAGATCAAAGTCTATGTTGCATTCAAAGCTAATCTTCCTAACTCCAAGCAGGTGGTCCAGCAATATGCCGATAAAAGCACATATGGAAGAAGGCAAACCAAACCAAGGGGAGTAGCAAAAATTGTATAAACTGATTTTTTAAGGATAGGAGGAGCTACCATATGGAATCTGTTTTCTTCATTCATGGGCATTTTTTTTTTTTAAATAACGAACAAATTAACTTTTTTTTTTTTTTTTTTAAGTGGGGAATACAGAGAGTAAAATACTGTTTCCACGTGTTATGGGGCAAAGGACAAAGAGTGGGACCAGAACTCCTGCTGTCACCACAGGCGGTTCTTGAGATTTCCTACACCGCTTGTCTTGTTAAAAACTGGAATAAAATTTCAGCTATGCGTTTTTGAAATCACAGTCTTCAACTAACCTGGAAAAATAAAACCAATTAAGGGGTCACCTCCTTACTGACTGCAATTTAGGACATTGGGATCCATTAAGCGTGGTTCGTTTTATTAATCAATGCATAGAGCACAAGACAACAGATCCATGTGCTTCTCAGAGCTCTTAAAATTTTAGTTTTGTCTCCTCTCTGATTTCCAAGTGATTAAGATATTTACCGAACACACGGAAAGAAGCAATTTCTCTTTTCTCTACACCTGGATGAGAACAGAACCAATAGCCTGGGAAAATGAATTTCACCTGTCAGTGTTCTCCTAGCTGGGTGTGTGTGTTTCCTTATTGTGCTCCCTGGAATAACTTGATGGCTCAATCCACTTATCAGATTCTTTCATTTGTAACATTTTATGTCCAATCAGATACTTTCGGAGAGGCTGAATATGGACTTTATCATCACACCTGTGCCATCTCACAACTAGACAAAAGTGAACGGTCTCATTCTTTTTGTCATCAATTTCATAATGTACACTTTAATTTTAAAAATGTACATGTCTACACTAAATATGGCTTTTCTCACTTACTTGTCTTTTCTATTTGGTTTCAAACGTCTAACAAGTTTATTCTTTTCCACGTTAAAACAAGAATTGCTCAAACGCTTATGCACATGACTAAGAGTTTCTGGAGATGAGCCAGTACCATTTACTCATTTCATAGATGGGAAAACTGAGGACCAAAAAAAAGGGAGGGGGAGGGGGAGGG